GTGGGCCTTTTCCAGAAGCGCTAAAAGGGAGGCAGGAGGCCAGAAGCCATCGTCTGGATGACGACACGGCAACCCTAAGGCCAAGGGAGTCCTTCAGACTCGGAGCCGAAACAGAATCCAAACCCCCCCCCCTTCGCCTGCCTCTCAAGCGCTCCAAGATGTTTGGTCTGGGGAGCCACCGTAACTGCGGTAGCAGCCACAGCTTACAAGGAAAGCACACAACAGTGCCTGGAGAAGGCCCCAGATTCAAAGCTTTGACATCTCAAGCAGGGGAGGACCTTTTATTATAATCCTTTAAAGGCTTTCAGAAGACAAGATAAAGGCATTTGCCAGAGGGCCCGGAAAAGAGCAGCCCCTCAGGACCCGCAGAACCAAGACATGGCTGGCCGTCCCCCAATAAAAGACACGGCTTCTTACATTTCAAGAGAGGGGACCTCCCCTCGGAGCGACCTGTGAGGAAGCCGGCGCCCTGTCAATCCAATGGGGCACCCCACACTTTCAGGCGTCCCATTCCCGAGCACACTCGGGCAAGGCGAGAGAGTCAAAATCCAGACCATGGATGCGGCCTTCCACGTCCAAGTGATATTCATGCTTCAGGCCACGCGGTAAGGAAACACAGTGAGGGGTCAGGAACGAGTGGACTGGACACGGCAAGAGGGAAGCCCCTTAGTGTCGTGACGGAGGTCCTCTAGTGAGCAGCACGGATTCTGTCTCCCACAACACACTGATCTAGCGGCCGTTAGGCCACCTCGACCCTTTTGTTAAAGGCCTCCGGCCCAAAACAGCCAGCAGGCCTGACCTGGGTTTTCCTTTCAGCAACGAGGAGGCAGGCACTGTGGTGAAGTTCCCAGCCAGAATAAATGGGGAAGGCCAACGGACAGACCATCCAATGAAAACACGAGTGGGCGTGGCCTCTTTTTTTGCAGCTGATAAAATGTGTGTGTGTGTGAGAGAGAGATCCTTTCAGCAACGAGGAGGCAGGCACTGTGGTGAAGTTCCCAGCCAGAATAAGTGGGGAAGGCCGACGGACAGACCATCCAATGAAAACACGAGTGGGCGTGGCCTCTTTTTTTGCAGCTGATAAAACGTGAGAGAGAGAGAGAGAGAGAGAGAGAGAGAGAGAGAGAGCGAGAGAGAGCGAGGGCGACAGAGGCGAGAGAAAATCAAATTTTATTAAAAACAGTCATAAGACCAGCAAAATAAACCAAAATAGTACAACACCGAGTCTACAACATAAAATCCTTGCAGCCTTAAATACTAAAATACGAAACCGGTCAATTCCGTCATTACTGGCTCGAGTTACAGTACATTCTACGCTTTTTAAGTACCAGATAACAATATTTAGCAACATTGCGTGAGACAGAATAAGTATCGGCCAA